CTCCACCACAGAGTCACCGCAGTAGACGTTAGATGAGCGCTGTCGCTATGCGGCACTTGTCACGTTTTTGTGAACAACTATTCATACTTTTTCTTGTAGTGTAACCATCACCAGCTGACGTTACCCCTGATTTACGTACCGTGCAGATAGGAACAGTTAAGACAGTAAACTGCATCACATCCTACCAACCTTTATGAACATTGCTACTAATGTACATTCACATTTTTCATAAAAAAACAGCATGTGTGTTCTTGATGTCAATGTGTATACAATACATAGTTCTAACTTATAAAGCATTTATATACCCCACTGATATTACGCACTACCCTGGAAATCGGTTGAGTCATTTTTGTGTGTGTGTTTACCCAGATTTGACAAGTGAATGTGTCATGTATTTGTGTAGCAGTTTCGATGTCAGAGTAACAAACATGCACTAGTGCAAATGTAAACACGTTGATGAAAGCAGTATGCTGAGTTTTATTCTATAGAGGGCATAAAGCTGCTATAGAGTTGCAGAAGGTGAGAGTTGGTTTAGCGATAGGTGTGGGTGGGGTACTACCTACATCAGGGGGGAATAATGACAAATTGTCATTGTTCACCCCTGCCTAAATAGAATACTAGCAGCAATGAAGCCTCTTAGTGCCCCTAGTGCCTGTGGGTGTGAGTAATTGGTTAAGTGAGTCATATGAATAGAAAGCAACATGGTTTTCTGCTTGCAGCTTGCTGTTCTGTTGATGGACACCCAAGGTGCATTTGATAGTCAGTCGACAGTGAAGGATTGTGCGACAGTGTTCGCTCTCAGTACAATGACCAGCTCAGTACAGGTAAACGGCTAAACGCATGACAATATATAGTGCAGATGTATAAATTTACAATCTGTGTGACCATGTTACATATCAGGCTTTGAAATATGGACATTTACGTACTTGTAGATTTGCCTAGTCGATGTGTATATATATATATATATATTATTGTTCGTCATTTTTGGCAGGTTTTCAATTTGTCTCAAAATATCCAAGAAGATGATTTGCAACACCTTCAGGTATGTAGGAATATGCGTTCATTGATCGTGTTAATTATAAATTTGCTAGGCATGAAGTGATTAAACATCATACATTAAGTCTTAAATTAAAATTGAATATACTTTTCATTGCTATCATCCAGCCATCTATTCACTTTGTTTCTTTTTCTCTCCCCCCCTTCTCTCTTTCTCTCTGTCTCTATTTCTGGCTCTCTCTCTCTCTCTCTCTCTCTTTCTTTCTCTCTCTCTTTGTCTATGTTTCTGGCTCTCTCTCTCTCCCTGCAGGTATTTGACTGCACAAACCTATGAGTGTGAGCCTCTATTACTTAATACTACATGTTATTTGACAGTCTTGTCTTGAGTCTTGCTGCGTCAGTGTTGTCATGATGCATGGTAAACATCAATATTTGGCAGCTCTTTACCGAATATGGGAGACTGGCACTAGCAGATTCAGACAGCAAGCCATTCCAGAGCCTGGAGTTCCTCGTCAGAGACTGGTGCTATCCATATGAGGCAGACTACGGTGCAGAAGGAGGAGCTAAAATATTGGAGCGAAGGTTGCAGGTACGTTATCTGATCGTTTCACGAGCGGCTGTTGCTGACATCATTGTTAACACTTTACTCTACACACGTAATGGGAAGACGTTTGTCTTACGCTGCTATCGTGCGTGCAGAAAAGGGATAAGGTGGCTGAGCCCAGAGACACGAAACACGACTGCGAGAGTGCGTCTGTTTATTGTAAGGGTGCATGTTCTTGTCAGTGGCACAATACGCGTACGGTGTAGTGTTGCGAGCTTGCTGAATATAGATGCTGGCTTCGCTGAAAAAAATCCTTGTTAGTGTCTAGAGCTTCTAGGAATCCTGCTGAAATGTTTGGGTTTTACTGCAAAGTCTAATCGAATGAGAGAATAGATATGTGTAAGTAAACAGGTGTGTGTTGTCTAATGAGCAACTGAAAACATGTAAACACTAAAACGGGTGTATAAAATTGGGTAATGGAAGACATTGGCATTTGCTAAGACTGGGTTGTGGCAGATGTTGAAAGTGAACACAATTATACAATTTTTGTGAATTTACATGGATAGGGCAAGCCAGTAGATCTCAAGGATCTCACAGGAAATCGCTAGGTGAATGCGTACAATGACTTGCAACGTTGTCATCAAAAAATTAAGCAGAGAAATCTCTAGGTTATTGAATGTTTTTTTGGCATGTTAAATTGTTAATTTAGATTGCCGATTGTTCGAAGCATGCTATGATTATCATACATCATATCATAGACTCATAGTTATACATATATACATAATATTAACTTATCAAGGCTTACATTTGTTAATCACATCATGTTGGTTACCACGTTGTTGCTAATAGCAGGTTAACCAGTGGCGTGGAATAACGTCACTAAGCGAGGAATTTTTATTGGCGTAAAAGTTAACGTATTCGTAAGTTTACGTACTTATGCGATGTCTCGGTGAACGTAAACGCACACGAATGCTCCTCGCAGGTGTCAGACAAGCAGCATCCAGAGTTGCAGCAGGTCAGGGAGCACATAAACAGCTGCTTCGATAAGATCGGCTGCTATCTCATGCCACATCCTGGACTGCTCGTCGCCACAAACCCGAATTTCGACGGGCGCCTATCTGGTAAGTTTGCCCCACCGTGTATACGCATGCCTACATGTAGGAAGGTGTGGGAACGTGTTGCGAGGCGAGGGCGGTGTGATGCGCTGCGTTGAATTCTACTCGTGCGATCGCCTGTCGTTAGCTGTGCTTGCACGCAGAGTGCGTCCGCAGGCGACCTACGAATTTATTGGTTTAAACTTTTGCATTTAGCATTGGTTTATTATTCTTTGGGGTTTAGTTTAGAGCGCACTGCACTAGCGGCTAGGTATGATCGTTGTATTATGTTACAGTCTGATGCAGTGTGTGGAATTGCAGTGACATCTGTTCACCCTTCCTTCAACAATATTGTATAATTTTACTTAGTTTTACCCGTAGGGAAAAAAATCATTCGTGCTATGCGAAAAGAAGAAAGTGTAGGTCCATAATCAAATATGACATATTCCTTCAAAGTGAGAAAGTAGAATTAAATGTATACTATAGACTACATTGAATGGATTATGTAGATAGTATATCTTGGTATATACAGTAACATTCAGTTTAACGTAGAGTGTAGTGTAGTGCATGTGTATTGCTCCACAACACTAATACAATAGAGTTTAATATAGTGCTCTATTACTGCAGATATTGAACCCCAGTTTAAAGAGCAGCTGAAGTCTTTGGTTCCATTACTGCTTGCCCCCGAAAACCTGGTGGTGAAGGAGATTAACGGAAACAAAATATCGTGTAGAGAACTACTAGAATACTTCAAGGTAATAATTACGTAAGCTATTGACATAATTAACTCAGTAATACTACTTAATGCTGAAACTGCAATCCTGTATTCTTATCACTGTAATCTTATTCCCTGAGTATCAGTGTCCGATATATAATTAACATATTGTTAAATATTCTAATTATGACAACGTATTCATAAAATAATAATAATTATTATTCTGCATTGTTGTGTGCTACATTCACATTGTATATATGTTTTTACGTCGTATCAACATGGCTAAAAAAATCTCCCTGGTTTACATTCATTGTAGAATGCACGAATCAAAATTTTGAAAAGGTGTCTTCACACATAATAATGCTTACTGTTGTCACTTCAGTCATACATCAAGATTTACCAGGGTGACGAACTTCCAGAACCCAAGTCCATGCTGCAGGTAAGCACTTTTTACTTTTGATGGCTTTTACTTTTCGCAGTGGCTACGGGTACGGTAGCCGTCGGTCGTTGAAGCCCCTTTTTGGCGTTAGGGTTAGGGTTAGGGTTAGGGTTAGGATTAGGGTTAGGGTTAGGGTTAGGGTTAGGGTTAGGGTTCTAGCTCATCTAAACTCTCAAATCGTGAATTTATTTCCCAAGGCGTTATTTCGAAATCTTGCGCCACCGCCGCCATCTTTGTCTCGTTAAGTATGAAAGCGAATGGACTCCCGTACCCGTAGCCTCGAGACATTAAGATACGGCTACCGTACCCGTAGCCACTGCCGTTACTTTTAGGTTATCATGTGATTACCATAATCAATGGAATACACTCACATATGTTATATCTATATTTGGTAACATATGGTTTGCAAATATTTTTCCAGTATTTCAGCATTATTCTTGATGTAGTTTGATATAAACTAATGAGTAGCTGTTACCCAAAATGCATCACTCTAAAAAAAACTAGGAAATCTTGTAATGCCTTCTTCGCTGTTTCTAAATTGTTCATAACTCTACTAATATGCAACCTAAACTGCTAATATGCCGTGTGTATGAGTGCAGTTGCCAATAGCAACGTTTACGGTCTGTTACAGGCTACGGCAGAGGCTAATAACCTGGCAGCAGTAGCAAGCTCAAAGGACATGTACACTAAGGAAATGGAACAGGTAATTACGTAGCAAAGAGCAAACACTTCTATAGATGTGCATTGTGCATTTGTTTATTTGCTACCAGGTGAGGCCAGGTGGATAAAATAGTCAGAAAAGGTTTCTGATTAAAGATGTGCATGCATCCTTTATATTTTTTGTCTGTCTGTTCACCTAACATGCTTGCCTGCATACCTGCGTGTCTGTGTGTCTGTTTGTCTGTCAGTCTTGCTGTAAGTCTCTCTCTCTCTCACTCTCTCTTTGCTCTCGTCTCTCTCTATTCTCTCTTTCTCCCCTCTCTTTCTCCCTCCCTCTCTCTTGCTGTGTTTCTCCCTGGTTCTGTCTGTTTGTCTGTCTGCGTGTCTGTCTCTCTTTCTCGCTTTGTTTGTCTGCCTGTCTTTCTGTCTCTCTCTCTCTCTCTCGCGTGCGCTTTGTGAGTGTGTGTGTGCATTGTGTCCATGTGTGTGTCTCTGTCTGTCTGTATATCTGTATGTTCTGTCTATCAATCCGTGTGCAGGTGTATCCCAATCCAAGTAAAGAGTTGCCCACTCTCACTCATCCCTCCTTCTGCGTAGGTGTGCGGTGGTGACCGACCTTTCCTTGACCCGGAAATGCTCGAGCGGGAACACCGCCGCTGCCTGGAGCACGCGCAGGCGGCCTTCCAGCACAAGAAGAAGATGGGCGGCACGGAGTTCTGCCACGTCTATGAGGAGCGTCTGATCAACGAACTAGAGGAGGCGTTTGCGAACTTGCAGCGGCACAATGAGAGCAAGAATATCTTCTCGGCGGCACGCACACCTGCCGTACTGTTCGCGCTCATCACCATCTGCTACACGCTGTCCGGTACGCGCTCGCCTCGCACGCGCGCGGTGGCGCCCCCTGTAGTTTGTAGCGGGTCCCCCGTCCGTTGTACCTCGGTAGTCGTGCCCTCCCATCTTCTATCGGTAATTGGGTGAGTGGTTATGCATATAGTGGGTATTGTGGTTGTTAATTGATCTTTTTTTTTGGCACGCCATTGTGGTTTTACACTCGATGATAGTTAATAATTACAGTGTAGTTAATAATTATGATGTAGTTATTAATTATGAAGTGTTTCTTCTCACCAGGAATCTTTGCATTCATCGGCATCCTGTCCCTAGCAAACATGTTTAACATGTTCATGGGTGTGGCATTAGTAATGCTTATAACGTGGTCGTACATACGCTACAGCGGTGCTCACAGAGAACTCGGACAAGTTATAGACCACACTGTCAATTTTGTGTGGGATAAGGTATGTTCAAACTATATAAGAAAAGATATTAAATATGAGCATGAAACTATAAACATCAAGGATCCATGTAGTCATGTACTTCAGCATTTATATACATCATGAAGTTTTTGATAGGAACGTTGTGTTCTGTGAGCAGTGTTTTTTTTACATTTGAAAACTAATCCTTTAGGTGTAAATTTTTATTTTTGTCTTGTCGTGTTTAACTCGAATATCAAACCCAGAAACATCGTAATGGTGTTTGCACCCTGTGTTACACAAAGGTTGGCATTTTTTTCCCAGTTTATAGCACCTGTGGTAGCACACAGCGTACAGAGAGCAATTGAACAGCAAACGATGGCACCACTCGATAAGCGAAGAACAGACGAAAAGAAGTTACACTAGTGACTGAATTGGATGGCGCCGAGTCGCACCAGCCTGCAGGTTCCAACCGTTTACGTCTCCACGCTCTCGCGTCTTGGCAAGCTTCGTTCCGACTCCCAGCGCAAACCCTGCCGGGAACAGTAAGTGTTTGATTTTGGGTGCATCCGGGCTGTCGCCGTGGTGACGACGTGCCTCCGGCGTCCCGGTCACGCGACTGCACGAAAATCGTGTGTCCCGCCGGTTTCTGGACGGCATCCGGAAACCGGAAAACCGGCACCGCAACATGACCGCCTGCATCTGGTGCTGCCTCGCGTGGCTGTCCCGATTTGTACACGTAGCGGACGTTTCTCTGTACTGCAACCAAATGTGATATACATACAGAAGAACATCTGAGCCGTTCATCAAAGCGAGTTCGTAGGTAGTCGAGAAGATTTTTCGTTATCCCTGTGAGACAACAGTGCCATCCTGTGTTCATGAAAGTTTCAGAAATCTGCAGAGCAATCAATATATCGCCTTTCCTCTTGCTGTTTGAGGGTACCAAGTATTTTGTTATTATCTATGCAATGTATATATTGACTATACGTTACATCAAAAGTCCTGTCGGTGGGAGATAAGACGACTAGGTTTCACTACATTGTGATTGCCATTTAAAAGATCATGGTAACCTGTTTGTAATGGTTGCAGATGTTATCCTATTCGATTCACTTCAGATGAATTTTAGAACCGAACTGAGCTGAGAGGACAAGATTGGGTTTTTAGTAACATTTTGTTGTGTGGTGGTCTCTTGTTGCTGTGTGTTGTACCTTACTCAGGAATACCTTTTGTGCCGAAAAATCATCTTGGATGTTTTCGCTTGCAGCTGCTGCGGTTGCTGTTGCTGCTTCTGCTGCTGCTACAGCTGCTGCTGCTGCTGCTGCTGCTGCTGCTGCTGCTGCTGCTCTTGCTACCACCACAGGTGTTGCTGCTGCTGCTGCTGCTGGTGGTGGTGGTCGTGGTGTTGATAGTAGTGTTACTGCTACTACTGCTGCTGCTGTTGCTGCCTCCACAGATGCTGCTGTTGATGCTGTTGCAGAGGTATCAACGTAAACCTCTTACTGTGCACTGCAGATTTTCTGGCTTTCAATGGATATGATATTTACTGTACACGTATCTCTCTTACAGTTGTCTTTAAAGGTGAATATATGCATTGGCTAAACTTACTGACTAGTAATTGAATCCTAAAGGTTACATTTCTGTGCATCGCCTTTCCTTCACGTTTCTAAAAAATATCCCACGTCACTGCCCATTCATTGAATGAAGGTTGGCTCGAGGTATTGTTCATATTTGGTAACAAGAAATTGTCAATTTAAACTAGATTTCATCTGCTCTTTAAAGTAATCTGGGCTGTATTCACACTATCTAGCCCTTTGTACGGCTCGTGCTAGTACAAGCAGCAGGGTCATTCATAACAATACATGACCATGTTAAAAACATTAAAAAAATGGGGATATGACCTCAAGTAACCAAATAAATGCTGATAGTTTGGGTCATGCCACCCCTTGACGTTGGTTTGCTGTTCAGTCATGAGTAGTGAATGTGCATATACAGCTTTTGACCTGTCTCTGTACACGTGTTCACATAGCTAACGAGGTATGTTACGGCAAGTACCACCACCCAAAGGTTGTCTGAATAATTCCCTTATCGCATTTCACCTCTGGAAATTGTTGGACAAGTTTTCAAAATACCCGTGCCATATTCGTGTAAACACCACAAGAAGGTAAAGCACACAAAGACCCAAATTGAGATAGAAATTTGGGGACATGTCGCTTGGATTTTTCCCTATTGAAACGTTTGCTTGTGTGTGTCATGTCAAAACTTGGTAGGCTACAGAAATTACAATATTTTTTAACACTTTCCACTGTTGAGACCATGTGAAAATACATATTAATTAAGGATATATATAGGCATGGACATGTGTACACTTACCATACATATATGTTCATGATATAAGGTATGTCCTTATGTCGTATTTGGTGAACTGTGCACTGGTCCAAGTGGTGGGCAGTAGCAAATAAACAAGTCTGCACAATTTTCCCGTGCAGAGCTCCGTGCTAGCTAAGCTTTTGTGAAAAAAGCTGTAAAGAATTGAAGCTCTTTTGCTAGAGTTTGTCCCCTACCAATTCATGCAAGGTTCGCTGTGGAATGTCAGGGACATGCACTGCAGTGTTACTTGTGTGCTGTTGTTGTACACAGGGCTTATAAATTATTTTTGTAAATTACCAGTAAAATGTCGCATTATTGTAAATGTGAACTGTACAGATAAAAGCAAGGCAGCGACATCATATAGCATAGCTTGTTGAATGTGTTAACGTGTTGCATGGTAGTAACAGAGTCTTCTTATTGAGTGTTTTAATGTATGCGTGTGTTTGTTTTTGTGCATGTCTTCACTCTAATATTGTTAGATCTCTAATAAATGGTCAGAAAATGATGCAAGTGTGCTGTGTATGGTAGCTAGGTGGCTAGGAGCGATGGTTTTATATTCTTACACCTAACTGGTGGTATTCTTGCCATGATGTTTTTGTAGTATACTGGCTGACTACCCGTCGGCTATATATGTTAGGTTTGAATACTAACGTATTAGTTTTATATTTTCTGCAATATGCCAGTAATTACAAAGAATTTTGCTCAAAGGGCCTTCCTCGTTATGTGGAGCGAGCTTCTGTCAACGTGAGAAACCAGTAAATAGGTGTGTGTATGTGGTATGTGTGTGTGTGTGCGTGCGTGCGTGCGTGCGTGCGTGCGTGCGTGCGTGCGTGCGTGCGCGTGTAGAGTGAAAACTGTGTACAAGTACTGTATACAGTGTCCAGGTTCTTATATCATCTTCAATAATAATATCCTCATATCTTCGTTTCTGTCACGGTCAAGCTATTGTATATATTAACAGGTACTTGAAATTCGTTTATTGTTTCATACATGATACAGTCCAGTCAGTAAGGGATTTCTATTTCATCGTCAAAAAGAGGCAAAAAGTTTGATCTAGTTGTAACAGTTATTAAAAGTAGTTGGTAGTTTAAAGTGTCTGGTCACTGTATTGTTCATTTATCCTATCCTGATACAGTCAAACCCGTGTTAGTGGTCACCTTTATAGAACGGACACCTATCTATAAAGGACACTTGGTGATCCCTGTATACAGGTTTAACTGCATAAGGCCTTTTCTTATGTTGTGATTATCACTCCCTGTGATCTTATTGGTTTCTCTTCTGTTCCGGTGTGGTTTTCTGTTTTTTTTTCTGTTTATTGCTTGATTTTTACAGATAAGCAAGTCTTGTATATATGTATAGTATAATCACGTACATATTGGTGAAACTCGATTTAGTTTCATGATCTCTACTTACTACTTTCGCCGATGAATAGGAGGGACATTCGATACCTGTTTTTGAAAACTGATCGTAATGATATCTGGATTCTACACGTGTTCCACCTTCTTTGGGTAAATAGGCATTACTTCTCTTTGGCGTCAAGGTGTGCATTTTTTACTTACAGTACTTAAACCAAATTGGATTGCTAGTGTCACAAATGCCATGAACGTGCAAGTAAATGATAATTAAATTTAATGTCGAGTCGCATCGAATAAATTGCTAATGACATTGTTATGTGACACTGTTGTATTCTTTCTCACATCTCGTCCTATTAGAAATTCATCAGTATTCTAACGTGTTGTATTTGTTACGTCATCTTCTGTTTTTGATAATAATTGACATTTTGGTGGTACCTTAATATAGTAGTTTAGAGGTGATGATTATAAACAGTATAATTCAAACATTTATTTTGAATTTTATTTGCATAGTTTGTTTGAAATTGGTATGATGTCAGTTAATAATATGTAGTATATTTAGCATTATATTCAGTGTCTGTATTCAAAGAGTTTCAAAAACGCAAAAGTCGGTTGGTGAAATGCAATCTGTTATTTTTTCAATTGAAATTTCATCAGCTGAATAAACCGGTGAAATCATATCGCTCCCACCTGAAATAATTATTCTGTAAATTTATGTTGATTGCTTGCAAGTTAATTTAACGGTTTATAGTGAAAGTGGGAGACAGTGTAAAATACGGTAAATTTTGTATTCTTAGTCACTTACATGATGTTTTGTACTTGTTCTAGTGAAGTGGGGCTTCTTTAGTTGTAATTACCATATACGCAGTCTGATTATGGTAAACATACCATATTCCTATGGAAAAATTTAGCTCTGCATTACTTTGCCAGGATCGCCATCCACTGTTACCCTTCATAGAATACTCAGTATAATAATTTAACTGGGTACGCAGCAAGGGTTGTTTATCGCGTTTTTTATTAAGAAAAAACGTTGTCAATCGCGTTCATTTTACTAGGGTAACTAAAGTTTTTTGAGATTACGAGGTGTAATTACCCGATTCAAAGTTTGTTTTTGCTGGTGGATAAAATTAAATATAAAAACGTATGCAGTCTTATTTTGGAAAAACTCGTTGTTTTGCAAATAGGGCAGGTGAAATAAACGTTTACAGACTTCTTTTGGAAAATATCTTGTCGTTTGCGTTAATTATTAACTTGTGCATGTCTGCTATACTTAGAGCACATCGTACACATGTACGATGCTTATAGTTATACTTATTACGTAGTAATCAAAATCAAGAGCTAATAATACCTAGAGTGTACAACGGAAAAACGGGAAAATAGTGCTATTTCACGACAACATTATTCTACTTTGCCTGCGAGTCTAGAATAATTTTATGGTATTGCATTAAAAGCAAATACTTCAGTGGAGGTGGCTGAATAACCGGGATGCGAGGCGGCGTGAGGCATGTGTGAGGGGAGGTTTAGGAGCCAATATCTCAGCCTCGGAGTATCGTATTGACAAGCGGTTGGTCTTGTTTTAGAGAGCAAAGAATTCTGCTTAATGCAATAAAATTATTCTAGACTCGCAGGCAAAGTAGAATAATGTTGTCGTGAAATAGCACTATTTTCCCGTTTTTCCGTTGTACACTCTAGGTATTATTAGCTCTTGTCAAAATGTATAGTGCGCATCTATCCCTTGTGTAATTATAGCCTGCTATGTAGCGCGCAGATTATTATGATTAGCTATGGCTGTCATGGCTTCTATGATCTCTTTATATAGTCAGTGTAAAAAAGTGAAGGCGACACGGCACTATCCCTTACCACTAAGAAAACTGAGACCCATAATATCAAGAGCGTATTAAGTCTTTCTTTATACGCTCTTGATAATAATATACATAGAATACAGATCTGTATTCGATATCCACGGACCGATCAGGTTACCTTGTACAAATGAGGGGGCGGACTGCATGCGTCCCATGCCTAGAGTGCTTGAGAATGCAAGTTTGTCAAAAACGAACAACAGGTGGCACTATAGCCTAGTGTAGGATAGAGTACCTACATAAAGATATGTAGGTACTCTAGTGTAGGTACTCTTTATGTAGGTACTCTAGTGCTCTAGTGTAGGACAGCTGTATGAGCAAAGTAAGAAAAAGAAGGGGGTGTCTATATTCAAGCCGGTACGGGAGATTACGGTACGCATATATTTGCTAATATCTTGACTAATCGTGCGTGACGGTGCGTCAATAAACTCAATATTCACAGAGAGTATAGCTAAGACATGTGTTTATAGGTATCTAGAATATATTATGCAAATGATTACCCGTACCTGCTTGAATATAGACACCTTCATACTCTGTGAATATTGAGTTTATTGACGCACGATTAGTCAATATATTAGCAAATATATGCGCGCGGAAGTGAATTACAGATGATTAAATTTCTAAAATTCTAGATACCTATAGACACATATGTCTTAGCTATACTCTCTGTGAATATTGAGTTTATTGACGCACGATTAGTCAATATATTAGCAAATATATGCGTACCGTAATCTCCCGTACCGGCTTGA